GGAAAAGATTGCCCGTAGGGTTTACAGGCGAATTTTTTTGTCTCTTCCCCTTGAGTCGTTCTATTTTTTGTTGTGGTCGCTAAGAAATTCGCAGCATGAGGTATTTCGAGAAAAGCAGTCGCTTTAGCTTGGCACTCACCTCTCCCTCAAAATCATTCGTTCTTGTCAATTTTTTCGCCATGACTTCTGCTTTTTTTCACTTCTTAGTATCCTCCTCATTTGCTCATTCGACCGATTGGGTCTACATTTGCTTGAGGAATAAATGAGCCAAATTGCGCGGAATGAAAAAGCGCAAAAATTTAAGTCGATGGACATAGGATTAAGGTAAAAGAACACTGAATTCAGGCGGAGATGATTTCCGAAAATGAACTTCCACTTCGCGTCTCTTTTCTTTTCGTAATTCCTTTTTTTTTCGGAACCTTGATGCATCATTAATAAAAGCGCTAACAGACAGGTTTTGAAATTCCGGGGATGTACACTCCGATTGATTTTGATTTGTAAATTAGTCAGTTTCAGGGTAACATAGTTGGTTATGTGCTGGCAAAAATGGAGGAGGAAGCAGATGATGAGCCGCACGGTCACATAACCTCATTGGCTGTCAAGCGGTCGTATCGTCGTCTTGGATTGGCCCAGAAGCTAATGGATCAGACGGCACGAGCCATGATCGAAACATTCAACGCACGATACGTGTCGCTTCATGTGCGAGTATCGAATAGAGCAGCACTGAATCTCTACCGGGTTAGAACCGCTCTCAGATTTCTTTTTTTTTTCTTTCAGATAAAAAAATGAATTCTCCAGAATTAACTCGTTGTAATTCGAAAAATTGACTTCGGTGCCTTAAGCGGCTGCTTTAAACATCGGTTCGGTGAAAGCTTTACACTTCCACGTAACTTTCACTTACTTTCAAATGTATCTCTAAATTTTGCTGTTGAACTTGTTGTTTACCTAAAATTGCCCCAATCGCAATCAGCAGTTTGCTTTGTGCCCTCGATCATCCTTTATTTTTATCGCGAGTGTTTCAAAAATTTTAAAGATTCAAACAGTGAATATCCCTGGCTAGGAGATTGGAAGAGGACGAGGAAGGCCTGAAGTCTTCTATGTGTTAACATATGTAGCTTGTTTGGCGCTGCTGGAGAGGTACACAATCGAATTTTGATAATTGACGAAAAACTGGAGGACGAAAAAACTCGCAAGTCTAGGCCAACTGCTCCTTCTATTGTGCAGTGACGCAATGTGAAAATCAGGAGTAGGAAAAAACTTCAGTTTCTCGCGGCTCTGATAAGAGAGTTGGCAAGTAATGAAAATTATAATAATGATATGTATGAAATGTAAAAATTAACGGGATAGGTGTGTTTCGGCCCATTAAATCGCACACATTCCTTTTAGTGAAGCCAAATCTCGTCAGTGCGACGGTTGTGGTGTTGTTTAATTAAGATTATTTAAAGCTATAAAATTGTAAGGATCAATCAGTACGCGACTACTTTATAAAAAAAATTGGAAAAAATCAGTTACGAAAAAGCCAAAACCACATCTTTAGAGAACTGTTTTTATGCGTTTTTGCAGAATACATTAAAATTCGAAGTGTCCGATGTGGAGCCGAAATATTACGCGGACGGTGAAGATGCATATGCAATGAAACGCCCACTGGTGCAATTTGCAATTGATAATTTCATTGAACCAGCCGATCGGCGAGCATTTTTCAGTGCCAGAGATGACAAGGAGCACGCAAGAAAGCAGAAAACTAATTGAATAAAACAGCTTACAACTGACATCTCAGGATATAATAATATTATTGTTTATATTTTTGTCCGAAATGCGAATTTTATACCGTAGTGATAATAATCACAATGAATATGTGTATTCAAAGTGTTCTGTAACCGAATACTTGTTATCTATTAATAGCATAAATAGTATTTTTTGGAATACTGTTGAAGTGGTTGATAATCAGTTACCGTACTAATTTGTTGAATTCTTTTCTACCCAGTGATATATGGGACTAGTTTGTGAGGCTGAAAGTTAAGGATAGTTGAGAGCGGCGAGGTGATCTTCCCCTCTTGGATGTTTTTGAATTGTAATGTATTTCCAGTATGATCCAATAATATCCTACAGAAAAAATCCGTTTAAGTATAACGTTTAAAACATCTTATGATGCTTTGTCTGATGAAAAATTCGGAAAAAAGTGATCAAAAAAAAAACTCGCCGACCTACTTCCAGATAAAAAGCATTGCTACCTAGATCGGATGAATAGCTTCCCAGATCCCGTTTAGGATTCGACCTCGCCTACTGTCAGTTCAGATCCTTTTTGGATTTGGTTGCTGCACATCGTTTCACGGTTGAGAAAGATAGGTAAAGATACGGAAGAACGGCTTTCTTGGGGGAAAAAAAAAAAGGGAGAACGCTTTTCGGGGGGAGCTAAAATTCTTATGTTTTTCTTTTCAAACCAATCGTAAAGTTCATGTTTTTCTTTTAGCTCGAAGGGCAGTAACCGCTGGCAAAGCTGTTGATGGTTCCTTTTTTCGTGAATTACTTGGGAACAGGTTGCTGACCAACAAGATCCGCGTAGTGATTACAAGCAAGCAAAGTTCCAGTTGAATATCACAAAAAAGTTTGCGTATGTGGGCTCATTTAAAGACAGCAATTTATTACAATAACCTGGGGACACCAAGACAACAGGAAAATTTATACGAAACATTAATAAACATCAATATGAAGAATAACCTGGTACTGAGAAATTTAATTTTTTACACAGCGTCCAGTCGCGAGCCTCATTCCTCACACATTGCTTATGCCTCAGAGGGACGATCCTTGCTCCATCTATGTTCAGTCCTTCACTAACTTCCCATGCCTCACAGTTTCACTGAATATTAGCCATTAATTGTAAAGCACAAAGAGGTCATAACAACACAGATGTGTTAGCAAAGAGCGGAAAAACAGAGAAATCCCGCAGCACAACAGAAGGTTGAAGGTTCACTCCATGAGACTAGAAAGAGGGCAGTCTTTCCTCTTTTTTTTTTCAGGGCGGTCGTTGGGGGGCATCAACACGTACGTAATACAATATGCAAGTTGACTTAGCACGAATTGCAAATAAAAAAGCGAAAGAAAAAGGAGCTTCTTTACAAGAAAAAGTCGGGGAAGCTGCAAAAAAAAAGGATAAGTACAGAGCTTGAAAACAGGTGCTCGGGAAGCTCTACAAAAATTATAAAAAAGAAATTAGGG